CCCAGGGGCTCTGAGCTCTCCCTGGATCCTTCTCCTCTCCAGGGGAACATTCCCAGGGGCTCTGAGCTCTCCCTGGATCCTTCTCCTCTCCAGGGAGCCCCCCCAGCTCTCCCAGCCTGGCTCCAGAGGGGCTCCAGCCCTGCAGCAGCTCCAGGTGCTTCCTGCACCTCCTGCCACAGGCACTTTTCCAACCCCCAGGGGAGGGTCCTGGCAGTTTTTACCTGGGGCTCTCTGCGTTTTTGGGGACTGGGAACCATCCTGCAGCCGCTGATCCCAGACAGGTCCCACGAGAATTTCTCCACCACACCTCGGGGGAGGCTCTGGCTGCTGTCCTGGAGCAGGTGGGGGCTCCTGCCCGAGGCTGTTTTGCCCTTCCCTTGCAGGACCCTGCAGGAAGGGGGTGGTGAGCGCCAGCAGAGCCGCCCGCGGAGCCGCACAGGTCTGTGCCAAGGGGAGAGTGACCGCCAGCCCCTGCTGTGCCATCCCTGGTGGCACCAGCGTCACCCTGTCCTGCCAGCTGACAGCCCCCCGGGGCTGCTGCTGGGCAGCGATCTTCCTCAACAGCTCCGAGCAAGTGCGAGCCCGGGGAGGCTCGGTGAGCAAAACCTTCCTGGTCACCACCCACGGCAGGCACAACTTCATCTGCAAGTGCATCTGTGGGGACAAGAAAAACATCGTCTGTGGAATCGATATCCACTGTGGAAGTAAGGAAAATCCCTGCTTAATCACTGCTCCAAGTTCTTCATTGCTCCTCCTGCGGGAGAGGGAAGCTAGGCACTGCCAGGGGGTGCCTTCAGCCAGGATTGCTGCTGTCTTCTTCCCACTGGGAATATTCCTGGCTGGAATTGTGCAGCTCTGTTATTCCTGAAGGGAGAGACCTCAATAAACCTTCCTGCCCAGAGCAAACAACACCCTCCCTGCCCAGCATCCCCTAAAATGTGTCTGACCCACACCTCTGGGGAAGAGCCACTGGGGCCAGGCTGGCCGGGCAGCCTGGCCTGGCTGGAGATGATGGACTGAAGGACCTGAAAGGTCCAACCCAAACCAGGCCGGGACGTTGGGACTGACAGGAATTTCTGTTTCAGATCCTCCAGACGAGCCCAGGAACGTGTCCTGCATCCAGAAGGGGACACGGGGACATGCCACCTGCAGCTGGCACAAAGGCAGGCTCACCTACCTCCACACTGCCTACGAGATAGAGTAAGTGTAAATACAATTAGTGCCTAATTATCCCCTGCAGCAGCTTTCTCATCCCGCCCTGCAGCTCCCTCAGGGTTCAGTGAAGAGGCTGTGCCAGTCCATCCCTTTGGAAAGGGAACCCTGTCCCCACAGGGCTCACCCTGTCCCCACGTCCTGGGGTGACTCCCCAGACCCCACACCCCCAGCACTGAGCCTGTCCCCAGCCCCAGGGCTCACCTTTCTTCTCAGAAAATCCAACCAAACCTTTCCTCCTGCTCCAGGCTCTCCAACGGGACCGATGCCTTTTCCTTTCCAGAAGAAACTCCCAGTGAGGATTTTGGCTCCGGGGCTCTGAGCAAGCTGGATTTTGACTCCAATTACACCGTGGTGGTTTCTGCCTCCAATCCATTGGGAAATGCCTCTTCCCAGCCACTCACCTTCATGCTGATAGACATAGGTAAAGCACCTCTCCTTGGGGACACCTGAAAATATTCAGGATCTCTTGGAAAAAAAACATTAAACCTCTTGGATAAATCATCCACCCAGCCTACAGCAATAATCCTGTTTTCCACCTAACCTCTGAGCCCTGTTTGTTTCTGTTTTGGTGCCAGTGAAGCCACACCCTCCCGAATTCTCGGTGGAATTTGACGATTCCTCTGCCACCAACTGCACCATTCGGTGGCAGGATGAGGCACCAGCACAGCACTACAGGCTGAGGTTCCGTCCCCTCGGCAGGCACGGCTGGAGCACGGTAATCCCTCTGGGATTCAGGGATTCAGGGAGCTGCTGGGGAGGAAAAAGCTCTGGGGAGAGCTCAGAGCCCCTGGCAGGGCCTGGAGGGGCTCCAGGAGAGCTGGAGAGGGGCTGGGGACAAGGCAGGGAGGGACAGGACACAGGGAATGGCTGGAAGCTGAAAGAAGGTAAATTTAGATGGGATATTGGGAAGGAATTCCTGGCTGGGAGGGTGGGATGGAATTCCCAGAGCAGCTGTGGCTGCCCCTGGATCCCTGGCAGTGCCCAAGGCCAGGCTGGACAGGGTTTGGAGCAGCCTGGGACAGTGGGAGGTGTCCCTGCCATAGCAGGGGTGGCACTGGGTGGGATTTAAGCTCCCTCCCAACCCAAACATTTGATATTCCATGAAGTTTTTACTGTAAGTGGCAAAAAGAACATTTTGCTGGGAGCTGAGCACATCACCCAAACAGAGATTTTGCCATGAGGGATTTTTCAGATGAAGCCCTGCAGGCCTGATGATTCCTTTGAGTTTCTGGAGCTGCCTCAGCTCAGGGTTTCTCTGCTGTTTTTAAATCTGTGTGTGAATTTGTAACTCAGCCCCTCGCTGCCTGCAGCCCTTGTTTCCTTGGGAGCGTAACACCAATTTCTTCATCCCCACTGAAGGTCGAGAGCTTCAGCAGGGAGAAATATCATCTGCAGGGGCTGGAGCCTGACACAGCCTACGAGTTCCAGCTGAGCTGCAGGATCCTGCCCGGCCGTGGGCTCTGGAGCGACTGGAGCAGCAGCCAGGGCAGCACCCCAGCAGCAGGTACAGAACTGCCTGCCCTAAAGCCAGCCCAGGGCTCTGAGCCACGGCAAACTCCAGCTCAGGAGCCCAAACTGCTGCTGGGCTGCTCTGGGCAAACTCCACATCCACACCTGGAGCCGAGAGGGAGAAGTTTCTGTAAGAAAATTGGGTTTTTTAAATGAGCAAACGGTGAAGCAAAACAGCTGCCTGAGAACAGGTGAAGGATTTGGGGGCTGGAATGAGATGATCTTTGGGGTGCCACGCAACCCTTATAATTCTGTGATTCCCTGCTCTCCTGTTGGCTTTGGCTGCTCTTTTTTGTGAATTGCTGCCAGCCCATGGGGCTGGTGCTGCTCTGACTCACCCATTTCCCCTCTGCCCCGTGACAGCAGCAGTTTCTATGAGAGGTATTGATTGATTCGGGAGGTGTGAACTCTTCCCTGCCTCCCCCACCTTCCTCTCAACAGTTTTCTCCCCTTCTCGCTGCACCCCGAGTTTGTGGCTGTCACCCCCACCCTGCCCGTGGGGTTTTTAGCTGATCTTTGTGCCCTCAGAGTGGGTCACAGCAAGGGGAGGCTGCAGACAAGCAGCTCCGGGTGCATCCTCACCGCTCTGTGTTGCAGGAGCTGAACTTCTCCACAAGTTGTCTCCCTGCAAGCCCAGAATTAAACCTTTCCAAGGAGAAATTCCTGTTCCTGCTCCTTTTTGTGCAAACTGCCAAAAACCTCGTTGACATGGTGCACAGGCTTTCAGATCCAGGCTGGAGGGCAGCAGGTGCAATCCAATATTCAGATTTTCCTGCTCTGAGCTCGCAGTCAATGCTCTGGTTTTGTTTCTGCTGCTGCTCCTGCTTCTTGTTTCTGTTCCAGTCACTCTCTGCAGTCACTGCAGGACAAACATGCTGACCTGGAGGGGTTTGTGCCTGTGCTACAGCCCTGGCTGTTCATCAGCTGCCCCTGCTCCAGCTAGTAACAATTGGCATTAGAATGGATGAGTTTGTGCTGCTCAGGGTCCTTGAGGAGCAAAGCTCTGGCATCCTCTGTCATCTCAGCTGTCCTTACCCACTCGTCTCCGAGTCTGGGCTTTGGGAGCTCATCCACCAGCCAGATCTTCCCGTTAATGTCATTTTGGGAGGTTTCTTCAAAATACCAAGAGCTTCCAGTCAGAACTGTGGAAGGAACGGGGTTTAAGCTGCCTCAGGCAAGCTGTTAAGGGCATTTATCAGACAGGAAGATCCCACACATCCCCCACACGCCCTGATCCGAGGCTGCCTGTTGTCCTAGGATGGATGGAGCCAAGCCCAAGGACCTTCATAAGCCTCCAATTTATGCAAAGACAGGAGCTAATGCTGGGCTTTGATGTGTGGGCTCCCTTGGCAGCCACCCAGACTACTGAGGTCAGGACAAAGCCACCAGCAGATCCAAACTCCTCTGCTTGGGTTTACGGCTTGTTCTCCTCCCAAATCCCCAGCAAACCTGGGTCATCCCACCCTGCAGCATGTCAGGGGCATTTAAAAGACTAAATTTGAGTTTTCTCAGGGGTTTTTACCTCCTCAGCCATTGGCCTGCTCTGCTTTTCCTTCCCACCAGTGCCAAGAGTGACCCTGGATGTCTGGTACCGGCAGCAGGAGCTGGACTCTGGGCACCAGAACCTCTCCTTTTTCTGGAAGGTGAGTTCAGTGAAACCCCATCAAATCCTGGTCTGAACAGCCAAGGTGTCTGCTGAGGAGGGCAGGAGCCTCCCCTGAAATGGAAAATGCAAACCCCTCCCTCTGAATTGTTATAATTTTGAAATTAAGGGTCTCTCAGGCAAAGATATGGGAGCAGGAATAACAGTTCTTTGACAGGGAAATTAAAAATACAAATGCAAAAGTACAAAAAAAAGAAAACAAACCAGTGCCAGGGTCAGAGCAGCCCTGTCCCCTGTGGGTCAGGGAGTGGCTCAGCCCCATCCCAGGG